AACTGCGCTGCACGGAGCCGCGTTCCTCTCGATTTAGACCCAGGTACGCCTGTATCGATATCGCGGTCGTCTCTAGACATTCTGTGCCAGTCTGTCTGCGCTAAGCTCTTGAATTTTGCTGACCATGCAGAGTTTCAGAGAGATTCGTGAACAATTGATAGATTGATTGGTTTGGCTACGTCTCGCTCTTGATGAAGGAACTTCTTCAGGCCAGGAAGCTGCTGTGTCAAGAGCGAAACATAGACTGATAAATAAATAAATAAATTGTTCGTGACTCTTCCTGAAACCTTAACTTCTTCATCAGTTACATGTACATCCCACCACCCCGCAGAGTTGTTAGCAGCTCCTAGCTTAACCTACATCCCAAATGGATATATGGGTACCGATACCGCGGAAAATAGGGTTGCTCAAAAATAACTTTATGCAACAGACCTAGAGCCCGCTACACATATGACTTTAACAACTATCGATAGCAAGCCACCGACTTGAGGACAAGCTGTCAATTTATCAAGACGACGGTTCAGTACAAGTTTAGTTAGGTATGAAGTTCTGCAGATGAGCAGAAAGATTCAACATATCAAAGAGGAAAAATTATCTGTAATCAGAAATACTTTGCGTCTTTCTAGGCCATTGTCTTGCATTATGATACTGCGTTTGTCCGGTAGCGCTCCATCGGGTCGTTTGGTGTGTAGTTGACAACGCTCCGCGCTGACCACAACATCAGGAGAATCGCACACGTGCGGATTCTTCACCTTATTACCTGCGCCCAGTCCACTGGGAAGAAGGGGAAAAGAAAAGGAAGTGTATAGCTTGAATTCCCTGTTGTGAGGATCACTATGGCAACCGTGGGAACAAGTTGTAGTGGAAACGACTACGGCGGAAGTATAGCCGGCACCATTTAACGATGGATTTCTCTGGTTAAAGCAAACCACTTCCACAAGTAAACTAAGTATGTGCTTATCATCGAACTCCAGGTGACTCGGATAAATTAGGGTGGACCAAAAATTCGTTGCACAGGAATCCGGTATGTGCAAGAATAACTGCGTGAATACACATACAGGTGTCGCATCAGTTAGGAAAGACTCCGTTGGGAACATTGTGTCGATAGGCCTAGTAAAACGAAAAATCAGGTAATGCGGTTCTACCGATGACCTTCAAACGAACAAACCTATCTAGGCAGTGCACAGCGACCGGTTCCCAACAATGAAAAATGTAGCAGAGCACTGGAAGGAAAGCCACGAAGCTGTAGGCATTCATGCCACTTACCCGTGTTTAGGCTTCTTTATGGCTGAAGGGTTAGCCAATCTGGGACCAGTCATTGCAGATGTTCTTTTTGCACCGGTCTGTGTAGAAGATTCGTGGCAATCGCTGTCGGCGTTACCCGCTTTGGGACGAGGTTTGTTCCTATGAAGAACCGTATGGCTAAACTCTTCAGCGACCTGCTGTAATAGACAGATATATAACATAAGTGTTGGAAATATAGTGGTGATTCATAGCAATTGTAGGGCTTTCAAAGAAAACTATGCTTGCTAGACGCATATAAGTTACTGGCTTTAATTCGCAAAACACCAACTCTGCCTCCGAATTCGAGCAACGAGATTCGGGACGGCACACAATGCGCTGGTCGTCGATTGGTTGGTTGTACAATCGAAGCCACACTGTGGTTTCTTAATTTGGTCGAGAATATATATATATATATATATATATATATATATATATATATATATATATATATATATATATATATATATATATATATATATATATATATATATATATATATATATATATATATATATATATATATACTTACCCTGCACATACTCTCCTCGTCCCCCTTTCGATCAACTGCCTACTTCCTCCAACACATGTCACCATAAGAGCGATTATCCGCTACCGCTATCATATGCCTTTACGCAAAGCGCTCAACATCGGGTGCAGGAAAGTGCGCACACTGCTCGACCGGCACACGAGTGAACGACCCGAGAAACGCATGCCCTGGACGTGATGAAACTCGCGCGCTACGGGATCGACATCGCCGCACACAGCGAGACTCGGATCGCTGACCAAGGCAAGCTGCATGAGCCTGGTGCTGATTACACGTTGTACTGGGTGGAGAACGCCACATCAGCACCACGTGAACATGGGGTTGGATTTGCACTATCCGACCGCCTAAATAGCTAGCTGGTAGGAGAGCCCACTGACATCGGCCCACCCTTGATGACTGCTCGCTTGGGATTGGGAAGAGGTAAATTTGCCACTTTTAGCAGTACGTATAGTTCCACCATGCGTTTTCTTGATGACAAGAGGGATCAGTTTTCCACTCAGTTATCCTCCGTAATTCGGTCTGTGTCAAGAAGCGATGGATTATTCTTACTGGGAGATCCCAACGCGCGAGTTAAACGTGATGATGCAGTGTGGGCAGACGTAATCGGTCCGTGTGGTATTGGCACAGCCAATAGGAACTGAGACCACTGCTCTCACTGTGCGCCACCCACGGTCTAACGATCATGCATAAACACCTTGCACTGTGTGCTAGTGATATAGCAACTTGGACGCATCCACGGAGTGGTCAGACTCACCTGTTCGACTATGTCATCGTACGGTAGCGTGAAATGCATGGAGTTCGCATGACACGTGTACTGCGTGGAGCTGAGTGTGGCACTGATCAAAAGTTGGTGAGGATCAAACTGAACATATATTTCCGTAAAACTATGTAATACTCACCTGCCATAAACAGGCGCAAGTTTAATGTTCGTTCCTGAGCTAATATTGACAAGAGGATGGAGTTGGAGTACGCGATGATTACCCGCCTTGGTGTGGTCGAACCCAAGGCCTCACTGAGCGACCTGTGGCACCACCTTCGTGAACAAGTGACGACTGCTGTTGAGGAAACCATCGGGCGCAAAAATGGTAGGCAATCCGATTGGTTTGAGGATAACAGTGCGACCATTGGCGCACTGGTATCGTCGAAGAATGTAGCATTCGCTGCACATGTGGCGGACCCTGCTAACTGCGAGGAGTCATTTTCGCAAACTTCGACGGCGGCTGACGTGAGAGCTTCCTCGCCTCAAAAATATATGGTGGACGGAGAAGACAAAGCAATAGAATGTTACGCCGAATGCCGCCAACATAAGAAATTTTTTGACTGTTTGAAGGCGTTGTGTGGACAACGTTGCATCCGCTGAGAAGGCCGCTTGATCCTATTTCAGGCACTGCCTGTATACAGACTGCAGACATAACGCAGACCTAGAAAACGCACTTTGACTGTCTTTTGAACAACTACTCAGCAATTGATTGGCCTACGTTCACGGGCTGCAACAGCAAGAAATGAAGGTGTGTCTTGTCAAAACATCGACACTGGATGAGACGCAGAGAGCACTTGCTCAGCTGCGAAACAGCAAATGTTCCGGTGCTGACGGGATCCCGCCTGAAGTATTGAGACACGGCAGAGCCGCGTTGGTACATGCGCTGCATCATTTGGTGCCACGCCTGTGGATTGAAGAGGAAATGCCGGCCGAGCTGAAGAATGTTCCTGTACTACCACTGAACAAGAGCAAACGGAACAAGCAATGTTGCACGAATTATCGTGGCGTCAATTTGTTGAGTTGAGTGGGGAAAATGATCGACCGAATCCTGCTCAACCGTCTCGTCACTCAGATCGTTAAACGGAAGGAGGAGGAAGAGTAATGTGGATCCCGTTCGGGTCGCATCACTGTAGCTATGGTGTTCGCGGCTCGTCAGTTGTAGAATGAATGCGGAGAGCGACACCAGCCGTCGTACTCGCTGTTTGTTTATTTCACCAAAGCATTTGATACGGTGAACAGCGAAGCACTGTGGCTGGTGTTGCGTAAGTTTGGTTGTCCGAGTAAGTTTGTTTGTTTAATTGTATGTCTGCACATTAACTTGCACACATCGCTTCAGCCAGTTGTATTCGATTTCAATAGCATTTTTGTGTTTGTGGCATTCCGTGAACTATACTATCTGACCTACTGCACTTAGCTAGGATTTGTTTGTAAACAACTTATTACGTATGCTATTTAATTAAGGTTTATGTCACCGTTTCCTTATGCATCAATCGAGTTTCTCTCTCTTTTTCTTTCTCTCTCTCTCTCAAGTGTTTGGCTGTTGTTTGCTATCCCTGGTATGGTTGCGCTTGATGTGTATGTTGACAAGGTGCCTACCTGTCTATTACCCACTACATCGTTCATACTGGCTCCAGGAGACAGTTGGTCGTTGCTGGAGGGGACGGGGTGCACGGTTCTTGTGGCCGCGCTAGGCTCAAAGAGCGGTTCCATGCACTCAGTGTGGAGCGGACTACGGTCCAGCCACCGCCTTGTGTGCGGTTGATTCCCCAAATACAGCGTGCTTGTGTTTGCCTGTGAAGGAGTGTGGGCCGGCTCCGTTGATGAAACGTGGTTCCCATCCGCATGCCTCCCGGTCTTATTCCTTCGGGTTTACACTGGATATGGGGTATGTGGTTGGAGCTGTGGGTGGTGCAGCGCAAGCCATCCATGGTCCCTCTGTAGGCGCAGGCGTCCTGTGGCTTGCCACAGTGACAGGCAAATCCGAAACCGGATGCCGCCAACCATGTATGTATGTGTGCCCCATGCTGAGGCTGATGTTGCATTCTTGATGCTTCTTCACCGCAGTTGGGCTAAACCAACTTACACTTAAACTAGGTCTTTTTAAGCTGGATAAATTTCATTCCGCTTTATTTGGTTTGTTCTGCCTCCCTGAATAATGTTCTATTAACTGGCCACGTTGCTTACACTAATTGCGCTTATCTTCGGTAATTTTGTTGCGTTTGTAGCATTTTTAAGTAACTTGTGGACATTTCTTACTTATCACGGATTTGTTGCTAACCAACTTACTTCATATGGTAATTTAGCGAAGAGTTATGCCACCCACCGTATCTGTATGCATTATTGGATTTATTTTATTTCAGCTTGTCGTTTAAAGTGAACGGCTGTTGTTTGATATCCCTGGTATGGTTGCGCTTGATGTGTATGTTGACAAGGTGCCTACCTGTCTATTACCCACGACATCGTTCATACTGGCTCCAGGAGACAGTTGGTCGTTGCTGGAGGGGACGGGGTGCACGGTTCTTGTGGCCGTGCTAGGCTCAAAGAGCGGTTCCATGCACTCAGTGTGGAGCGGACTACGGTCCAGCCACCGCCTTGTGTGCGGTTGATTCCCCAAATACAGCGTGCTTGTGTTTGCCTGTGAAGGAGTGTGGGCCGGCTCCGTTGATGAAACGTGGTTCCCATCCGCATGCCTCCCGGTCTTATTCCTTCGGGTTTACACTGGATATTGGGTATGTGGTTGGAGCTGTGGGTGGTGCAGCGCAAGCCATCCATGGTCCCTCTGTAGGCGCAGGCGTCCTGTGGCTTGCCACAGTGACAGGCAAATCCGAAACCGGATGCCGCCAACCATGTCTGCACAGTGGTATGCGGGCGAGAGTGCAGCTCTTTGGACAAACCTCGGATGACTTTGCAGTTGTCTCT